GGCCTGGCCAGGCGGGTCGCCGATGGGGAGCACAACAATGTTTTATGCTTATTTTCGCCGGTGTTTTTATGTGAATTATGTAAATAAAACTGTGAAAAAAAAAACGAACACCACGCACGAGGCAAGTGAAATGCCCGCATGTAGCGGATATGCACAACACTAATATATAATGCTATTTGTCAATGATTTTGTCATGGCTTTGTGTTGTATTATTATAGGTAGGACTTCGTCTTTAAATGGGGTGTCCCCATCGACGATGACTTTAATACACTAAACTAAACTAATCCCTGAGCACAGTAGGCTAGTCAGTACATCATTATGCAGATATGCACCAATAGGCTGAATACATACATCTCACTTGTAATCGTTGAATGAATCCGACCATGCTAATGAAAGTAGCCCAAGAAGTGTTCATATCGTCCACCACAAGGCAACATGAATCAGCCATGATAAGCACGCTATCCGTAACCCGTAAACTCACCGGCGGCTGTCGGCGGGGTTGGTGAAGTGGGTGTTTCCGTCATGGCTGACGTCTAGGGACGTCCATAGGCCGCGGTTCGAGCCGCCGAGGTCCGAGACTATCGCCATGACTCGCAGGCCGCATGCCTCGGCGTCGACCACCAGCTTGTTCAGCAGGTCCTTCGTGATACGCGTGTCGAAGGCAAAGAAGAGTGGCATCTTCCAAGAGCCGACGATGGATCGCACCATGACCTGTTGCAGGTAGTTGACGGGCCCGATGATCTGGTCGTCGGTGGAGTCATAGTCACCGATATCACGGACCTGGAACAAACGAGTACCTCCATTACTTCCTTGTGCCCAAATTTCCATCTTACGATTTAATTTCCATCCAAAAGACGAACCATGTCGTGGGCATACATTTAAACTGGCTCCATCCTTGTGACGTTCAGTATATCATTGTTCGCTCTAACTAGGCATAGGTCGTCGAACAAAGTATGCCGTGCTTTCATCTTATTGAATACATTTTTGAAAGAATGTTATTTATATTTTAATATTTGAGAAAGTTGCAACAAATTTGAGAAACAACATACAATTCTAAACGATACCGAGGGGCGCTTTATTGCTAACCAAGCTATATTAACAATAATAATATTCTGAAAAACAGGCATAATGAGCTAGGCTTTTAGACGCAACTCGCGTGCACAGTAAGTGTAACTTTTACTAACAACATACCTTCATCTCATCGAACATGAGTACGCAGGGGCGTTCGCGGTCGGGTTTCTCTTCCAGATACGCCTTGAGGATCGTTCTCGCGAATCCTGAGTCCTCCTGCGTGATGGTGACCTTCCTGAGACGAGTCTTCAGCGTCGTCAGGGAGGGAAGCGGCATACCCCCGTCCCGCAGGAAGTTGTACTGGCTTCGCGAAAGCCGGGTCCTGAAGACGAGCGCCCTGTGGATCGTCTGCTCGTCCCACGGACAGGGACGTTTGGACTCCAGCAGTGCGTCGATCTGCAGCAGACAGGGCATAAAACACAATCAGTGGGCAGCAATGAAAATTTTACCAATTTTGCACTGATTTGTCACTCATAGAGTACATAGAATTACAGCTCCAAGCTCTTACTACCTTGTACCTTACTTTACCTTACACTGCAAACTTTTTCATTTAGAAGAGTACTGTGAGGAACTGAGGTAAACTGAAGCTATATAAGCAGTAGTCAGTACTAATGTTCAATAGTTACGTGTGGACTTTTCTGTTCATTTTCTAACAATGAAAAAAGTTAACTTGATTAGAGGCTAGTTTTACTAACAAAAAAATAGCCGCTTACCGGAGTTTTTGCCTAAAGGCCATTTCACATACGGAGCGTGAACGATAAAGCCCTATCCGCTCATGTGCCCATCGCGTTTACGCTCCGTATGTGAAACGGCCTTTAAGCAAAAAGTTCTGGCAGGCGGCTATTTTTCTGTTGGATAAACGGGCCTCTGCTGGTCACATGAAAACATGTATTGGCATAATGGTTTAGGACTTAGGTGTAATATAGGAAAAGAGGGAAAATAACAGCAGGCTATAGAAGCACTGTTTGATATTCATCAGACATATAAGTGACAATTCTGATTGGTTAGGGTTATTTGAAGTGGTACCTGCTGATCTGTGAGGAAGACTCTCAGCTTATCCCTGTATAGGGCCTTCACTTCAGCATCTTTGGCTTCCAGCTGATCAGACAGTCGTCTGATAGTGGCCTCCAGGTCAGTCACTTTCTGGCGGAGCTGCGCCAGCTCCTCAGGATGGGAGCAGGAGGAGGCAGGGCCAGGAGCAGGACTGGATATGGAACAAATAGCACAACAGGTATTACCATATAATCAAATATTCTGCCTTGTTAGGACATTGCATTGCTAGGAAAGGCTTGTCAATAAGTATGTTAAGCAGCTGTCATAGTTCATCTTTTATGAATTAATCAGACATCTAGAGGTATGAGGGTGAATCATGACATAACAATAGGAGCTGATTTGAACTTGGGAATACAACATAACAACTGTATGTACATAATGGCATTAGTGAATGGTTGCCATAAGAAACCGACCTTGGCTCACGCTCCATGGGTGGCTGATCCATGACCACAGACTGCAGGATGTCTCTCCTCTCCGTCTGTGCAGCGAGAGCTCCAGCATGCCGGTGACTCCTGTGAATAATTGGAATGGAATTATGAACAGCTTTAAAGGCAAATATTTGCAAAGACCAATGTATTCAACTTTTTTGCAAACATTGTTAGGTACCTACTTTGAATTATTTTTCACAGTTATGTAACCATAGTGCTTTGCCATTAAAGTGACCATCCCACCTTAACATTAGTTTTGAGTTGAGATAGCCAAAATGGGGTCCCTGTAACCTTAACATTAGTTTTGAGTTGAGATAGCCAAAATGTGGTCCCTGGCTGGACCCCATTTTGGCTATCTCAACTCAAAACTAATGTTAAGGTTACAGGTTTGAGCACTCACAATATTGAGAAATGCCTCAAATCGAAAATATCAAATTTCAAAATTGCAGCACTTGGATTCAGAGGGGCTAATGCATTAGAATGCCCCCTCTGAATGTGTGACGTCAGCGCAGATCTAACAATTTTAAACCTTTCACTAAAACGTTTGGTAGCACGTAGTGGTATGTGCTGCTTTGCGCGCAACAAGTGCCACACTTTCAAATAAAGTCGCTAGGAACAGCAGAGATCCCAAAAGGTAAACAAAAGTAAAAGTCTAATATCTTGAAAACTGGTGAATATTTTTCGATGAAATTTGGAAGATATTCGTTTTCCCTCTTTCTGAACCGACAGACATCATTTTCATGCCAATTCATTGACTTTTTTGAAGGTGGGATAGTTCCTTTAAAATGCATAGATACAACATGCATACATCAAATTCCAGATTGGCATGCAACACAGAATACTAATTATTCTTTTGAAACAAAAAACTCCATGTACCTCAATCCATAGCTCAGCCTCCATGAATAAAATACCACATTTAATGGAAATAAAGTAAAAAAGAAAACTCACTTGGGTGGGCACTTTGGAATGTTTTGCGATGGTATGGCATCCTCCTTCAGCTTCCTTTTTGGATTGGTGACAGGATCTCTTCCTGGATTTGCCAGCTCAAACTGAATATCTCTGAGGTAATCCTCGGGTAGGAAGTGCAAAGAACAAACCCCTGTATTTTTTACGTTCACGACATTTTCTCTCTTAGCTGCCAGCATCCACTCACGAGCAAGACGCACATCGTTTGGCACAGAATGAACAGTAATTCCTTTCTTGAGGCGATCACAACCAGACTTGCATCCAGGAACCAAACAGTATCTACCCATGGCCAGACTTCCCAATTATCAAAGTTGCAAAAACCTGTGGAGCAAAAATACTTAACAAAACATGATCAAACAAATGTTACCTATGTAAACAATTCATGACTTAACTGACATACCAGCCAGGAATTACAGTGAGATTGTAAAGCAAAGGGAGGAGCAACAAGCCACTCACTTCAACTTATGGAGGTGACCGCTTGGGACAGGTCAAGGTGCCCTCGGAAATTACGGACTACATTAACATACCACTTGTATTGCCTCCAGAGTCCTATAATTAACAGGCTTCAAGACATATGATAAATATTCTTGAAAAGTGCCACAATTTTTGGTGCAATCTGAAATTCAAATTGTGTGCCCTCGCCCCTCACACCCCGCCCCGACGAGTAGACACCGTCATGAAGGCCCTGTTTTCAGGGCCGGATTCATGGGCTTCCATGGGTTTGGCAGACTTGGCTTAAAAATTGATCAATTGTGCAATATTATGGCATAGTGGAATGTGTGATGTATGTAGGTAACGTGCGTGATAAAATTGTTCCTCTCCTCTGCATGATAAAATCGGCACTCGACAGAATGGTGAAAATGTGAAGAAAGTGAAAATCATGTAAGCGTTCCATAACCAAAACGAACCAGAAAATTCAGGAAAACATATTCAAACCTTGTTCTCGACAAAAACCTAACCCAAAACGAATTTGATCCACCGAGCACCGAGGCAAATGAAAACTCCCTAAGCAAATGCTCAGTAGCGTCCTTAGCAACTGAGGCGACCGCCCCTAGCAACGTGCTTGTCACAAAAGCGCAATATATGTAGCATCTGGAAATTTTAGTAACCACTAGATAGTTTGACTAGATTTGGTCTAAGTTGAACTGGGTTAATTTCAAAAGTGAATTATCCCTTACCGAAATGTGCATAAACCCTTAAAACATAATTAAATGGCATTTTAATGAGAAAAAAGTCCATTTGCGTTAAATCTGTAAGGAAACAGCTTCAAACAATGCACATCTCGAAAAATGCTAGTACATTTATGGTAGAAAACTTCGTCCAACCTTATGTTTTAGGGCCTTGTGCTCTACCAACTGAGCTACGGAATGGATCAATGTTGTTGTTGTTGGGTTAGGGCGCGTAGAGTGGAATGGATCAAGAGAATGAATTAGGCTACGACAATTACGGCGCATGTTGTATTCGAAAGCTTTTGTATTCAACTGCGGTAAGTGAAAACTCGCTCAATCCACAACAGAAATGGGAGAATTAGCAACTTTACACCAGCTGTTTCGAACAGACTAATCGGATTTTGCAGTTTCGCGCGAGTTCCAAGTGGTTATCTGGTTCTAAACAACGTAAACGAGTTCTCTATATACCGTGCGTAAATGTAACGCTTGGATCCTAGGGGATCCTTTACAATTAGGATCTTATTGATTTGGACGGGCTAGACATTAGTGGAACAATTTTTGTGGAAAATTCCTGACATGGATGAAGATCACGCGGTGAGACCTTGCTTTTACTTATACCTATGAAGTGCGGAATTTTGAAGGGCCACTTTGACTTGTGCTCATCAAGGATCCGGTCCTATCGAGCTCACTTGTCACTACTGACTCGACCCTGTGTCCTAACTCAGTGGTTAGGGTGAGTTGTATGAAATGTGCCCAGTGCAGTCTAGCTTTGAAGGCGTTAAGGCTGGGGACATCGACAATTAATGGCGGGGTATGTTCCAATCGTTGATGATCCGAATGGGGAAGACATTTTGAGGGTTTGTGAGACGGCCCTCGTTTTTTTTTTCAGCGTCCATTGGTTTCCGCGGGTGTCGCCTGTAACCTGTTGCAGCCTAGTTAACTGAACTTACGTGGTTGGGTTCCCATCTCACGATGGCACTCCAGCCGACTCTGGAGCATTGGAGGTCTCGCTCGCAAGACAACAGGTCAAACGAAGTGATTTTATGCAGGCTCCGCATCGGTCATACGTATGCGACGCATGGCCACCTTCTCCGCGGAGATGAGCAGCCCGTTTGCGGCGGGTGCGCCGTGCCTCTCACCGTCGCCCACGTGCTTTTATCTTGTCGACGCTTGGAACCGGACCGGACTCGCTACCTGGGCCGCATCGCTCCGGATATCACCGTCCGCCACTTGCTGGGTGACGAGTCACCCTGGGTTTTATCTGGCAACATCTTTTCCTTTATCCGTTCAATCAAATTCCAAGTAATCTACTCGATCTGATACCGAACCAACTAGTCCATACGTTTATTCTAATCTAGTCCTTACGCCTAGTCAGCTGTCTTTTACGATACGCTTGGAGTATTTTACCCTTCTTTGCTCTTTTTAACCAGCTTTTAGGCTTTTTTAAGCCTTTTATTACGTCGGTTTTCTTGTGACACACTTGCTTTACTTGTATATAATTATGGGCGCAAAATGACCTTGTAGTCGGCGCGCCCTTAAGCCCCAATAAACAAACAAACAAACGATGGCAGTCAAGAGGGATGACTAATGAAAGGACGAGGAACCCTTATTCATACAGTACACCAGTCCTTATTTTGCTCTGGCAATCAAACATTGCATTCTCCTTGCGCTTGTTACCAATTGTGATCACTGATATACTTTAGGACTCTGCTGCACCTGCTGGAGGCGTGCAAGTCACCATGGAGACATTGCCAGAGGAGCTCCTCTCCCATATCCTCAGCTTTCTCTCCCTGCCTGAACAGCTCAAGGTGGCATCAGGTAGGTACCTCATCTTTTTGTGACATGCATCTCAGTAAATGTATGCATTTTGTATGTACCTCGTACTTTCAATGGTGAATGCCAGTACCTACATTCATATCTCAGTAACACTCAGTTCTACAGCACAAACTTTAAAAAAGACTAGTTTGACCACAAAGCTAAGTGAATCAGGATATCTAAAAAGTTAGTGTGGGCTAGCATTCCAGCAGTTTGCTTAGCAAGTACCTTGCTACTTGTTCCATTGTTGAAAAACAATGAAAGGAAACTGGCCATATGATGTAGCCATTGAATCAGCATTATCTTTTACCTCACATCTGATCAGCTACTTAATAGCATTTGAAATAGGTAACTACTTACATTAGCTCCCCCATACTGCAGCAGCACGTCCTGTCTGTACCATCACATATTGCCTGCCTAGTGCCTGGCCTAAATGCACCATGTTCTTTCACAGTGAGTCGGCAGTGGCACCAGTGTGTGATCGGTTGTCTGGCTCGCTACCGGTGCTTCACTATGGACTTGATTCCTATCCCTGCCTTCTGGTACTACACCAATGAACGGCTAGAGAGAGTTCTGTCGCACCTGCCTGGGCTCCGCCGCCTGGAGAACGTCAAATGCCAGAATGTCGGCGACGACTTGATGTGGTTCTTCAACATCGAACCGGCTGGACTACTAGACGCAGATATTTTGTGTGAGAAGCGTCATGCAGCTTTCATTGCCCTCAGCTCAGATATATGCATAGGTCTATGTTAATAAACAAACAAATGCTTACTAATTTGCATTTGTGTTGGTGACTTACATGTCGATTCCTTTCACTTTTAAACTGACGAGTGATTACTGTTTTGCCGCTTCAGGTCGCCATTGTCCGCTGCTGGTAGAGGCCAACCTGCGTGGATTTAAACTTGACGTTCCTGCCCTGGAACGGCTCTGCCTTGGCTGTCCAGGTCTGGAGGAGGTTACCCTCCCCGCGGCCTGCGACGAAGCTTGTGTCGAAGTAGTGCTGCGCGGCCTTCCCAAACTCAAGACCCTAAACATCGACCTCAAAAAGCTGACGGGAAAGTTCTTGTCGCTACTGCCCGCTAATCTGGAGCGGCTCGAGATGCGCGGTGTGTTCAAACTGCTAGAAGAGGAGCTGGAGAGGGCACCCAGTTACACGACCCTGGAAGAGCTGGACATCACGGGTCTCAAGAACGCATCATGCCCCGCACTAGTCAAGCTGCTCTCAGTGTGTCCGCAACTGATGATGCTCGATGCGTACGGATCCGGTATCACCGATGCCTTTCTGGAACAACTCCCGGTGAAGATACCCGGTCTCCGCGTTCTCCACATATCAGGTCAGTTGATATTATTCACGACAAAGATAGTTGGATGTGATATCGAAGCCTTCCTTATGAGAGAACAGATGTCTAGCGCACTCAAAACGTTCATAAAAATAATTGCATTATTGGGCTTTCATTACCATAACATCATTTTATCAGCGAATCAAATAAATTTTTGTTTCATGGTGCTGGAGGCACGTCATGTCCTTGCTCCAAAGGACGGTTGCTTCCTAATACACTGTGCGTTGCCGATGATGGGCTCTTCATTCTCGACCCCAATTTGAACCGACCGCCGGGCTCCCATGCGTCTCGGTAGGATGCGAAGGTCTCTCTGAGGCTGGCCTCCTCAACCTGGCCCGTCTGAAGGAGCTCCGCTGGCTGGATCTGTTCGACACCAACACCACCGACGCGGTGCTGCGGGGGCTGCTCAGCGCCACCCGACTGTCCTTCCTGGCCGTGGGGTCACACTGCGACAGACCCATACAGTCGACTGAGGACGTCCTGTGCGAGTGAGTACAGGACTGGTTTCAGAGAAGGCCGGTGTCGTAATGCGTATAGGTACACACTGGCCGATTTGCGGACTTGTATCGGTAAAAAATGGACTATTCAAATATTTGTTGTTTGTAAAATATTTTTAGATTCAATGGTTGGTGAGATAGCCAGAAATCTTTGATTTATTTGAATTTACCAAGAAACAGCAAAGCCCTATCGCAACACATGTTTCCTGAAGTGCGTCATCGAATTCTTGTTGGCACTAACTCAGTATCCACTTTTTATCCAGCTAAAACCGCTGCAGTTTTTCACTCGTGCTCTTAGTCTTCTTTCTCATGTTTTACTGTGCTAAACAACTCTAGCCTTGGCGACATTCGTAAGGACACATAACTAAGCACCCCTTTGGGATGGGTACGTGACCCCCCCCCCCCCCCCCCGGCACCGCAGCCTGGTGCTGGCGCTGCCGTCGCTGCGTGAGGTGCGTCTGTCCCGCGGCATTTGGATAAACGACGTGATCAGTTTCCTAAACGGCAGGCTACCGCACCATCGCAACGTCACTCTGTCTCTGCCCAGTAAGTACTGCATGTTTGACACGAAGAACAAGTGTGGCATTGGCTAGAAATCAGTAACACTTCCCGCTGCTGGTTGGTGAGTGTTGAACAACGTTCTTCAGAACTGAGTTTGTAGAGGCTGACAATTACCTACCTGTCGTCAGTGATCGCCCTAGTTTGTGCTACGTAACAACCGTCTCCCCGCAGCCAGTGCCACATCGAAACTGTACGATGAACCTGAGGAGGGTGACCCCCTGCGACTGGAGATCTACCCAGACTAGGTTCCTGGAGCACCGTCACAAGCCGTCGCGACACCAGCATCGCGCGCGGCGTTCGGTGGCGACGCCGAGCATGATCTCAGGGTGAAGCAGCGAGTGTTCATTCGTCAAGCAGTATGCTGTGATTCACGGAAGTTCGGCCATCTCACAGAGATGGGGGCGTGATATCAAACTGTGTATAAGTGTTCCTTCGCCCAGCAGTGCTGTGATTCAGGGACTCGGTGGTGAAATGGGCGTGATTTCAACATGTGTTTAAGTGTTCCTATGCTGCGATTCAGAAGCTCTTTGCCTGTGCCATCTCACTGCACCCCGGAAGCTCGGTGGCAGTGTTAGGTGTGATTTCAACCTGTTTTTAAGTGTTCCTATGCCGTGATCCAGAGAATGGGTGACAGTGATGGCTGTGGTTTCAAGCTGCGTTTAAGTGTTCTTATGCTGTGATTCAGAGGCTCGTTGCCTGTGCCATCCCACTGCACACTGGAAGCTTGGTGGCAGTCAGATAGGTGTGATCTCAGCATGTGACCCCCAAGTGTCCTCCGTCAGTGCTGTGATTCGCGAACGACGAAAATATTGTTTGAAGGATCGTAATAAACATTGTTTCATTTAAGCACTGTGATAATGATTCGTCATTTTATTAGCAGATTTTCCATGTTTTGTAACAGCATATTCAAGCATTACAGGCACATACAAACACAGAATCACTTGGTGAACAACACTACAAAACCACAGCACGATTGCGCCTGGCCTATCCCGGCCCAAAGTTCACTCGGGTGCAACACAATCGACGCCAAAATATATATATATATATATATATATATATATATATATATATATATATATATATATATATATATATATATATATATATATATATATATATATATGACTCACCTATTGAACTTAGCAATGATTGACACATACATACACTCCGTGGCACATTATAGCCTTGCGGCCGCAGCTCATGTCAAACGGCGGCCTAACCTAACCTAACCTAAGAACTAGAGTCGTTCACCAAGAAAATATTGTGTAGGTTTATAACCTACACAATATTTTTTACCATCCAATGGCGTCCGTAACGCGCACGTTGGCCACTACCACACCTATCTGAATATCATAAAGATCTCGAGAAGAACAACTAGAAAAAGTCACTCCTATGTAGCATATTTGAACCATGTCTGCCCACGGCGCAAACACATCCAACCAAAAGTGAAGGCGAATAAAGCCTAAAGGCCTGGCTACACTATGCGTTTTCTGCGTGCGTTTTTGCAGGTTTGCGTGTTTTGCGTAATATCGTTCTAGGAAAAAAGTTATAAACAATATAATATGGTTATATACAAAAGCTAATATAACTCTTATGTAACTAAAATTTAAGGTGAAAAACATCACAAAAACGTAATATCGTTCTTTTTCCTAGAACGATATCACGCAAAACACGCAAAAAACGCACGAAGGAAACGCATAGTGTAGCCAGGCCTTAACCGTCAACGGCAGATTGCGCGTTATCGTGCATAGGTTGCATAGGCCTCAGCTAGTTTAACCGTAACAATTTTGGCTGAAGATTCTGCATGCAGGTACATCTAGAGCTGAATTTTTAGATTGCGTGTATGTATGTACACCAGCTTGACTTCGCACCAGCACAGTCCGTCATACAGCACATGGCACCATTCAGGGGGCGTCGAAGTCTAGTAGGAAAATCTGGCAATCCCCGGCGTGACGTAACGTCGGGGATGATCGACGGCACCTTGCACTGAAAGATACGGCAGAACCGCTATTTTTGAAAAACGATTAAAAATACTTGGGTGTTGTTATGACACATTAAACGCTTATCAGCATGTTCCTCATCATATGACAAAGCCATATCCGTGGTCGAAAATAGCCGAGCCCCTCCCAATTTCCAAACATCGACCTTATAAGCAAAGGATGTAAGCGTAATCCTTAAGGGCGACTTTCCCTTACATATCCGTACATATGCGTCCTTATGGAAATCGGTAGTGTGGTGATAAGCGACGCGCGCGACATCTGTGGGACGACTGTGGCGACACCTGGTGGCTGCTTTTCTGCTGTATGTAGGTATTGGGGTTTTGCCGGATATGGTTCCTACTGCTACACCACTATGTTGACCCAATACTAGAAAGTTATTTTGTCCGTAAATGGCAAGCAAATTAAAAGTATATTTACAAAATTGCTTATAAATGATTACGAGATAATAATGAAGAAGTTTTCATTGATTAATTATTTAAATACTCAACTGTGAAACTATATTCTGGTAGGTTTAGTAGAAATTAGTCCGTGCAACCTTGTATTTAGGGCCTTGGCACCATTCACATAGCGAGCTGTAACTTATGTCGTAATTACGGCTCCGACCGTGTGTAGGACACTAAAATGCAATGCACGCCGCATAGTCGCATCATGGAACGTGAGGAACAAATGCAAAGCGTAAAAGTGAAGCCCATATAGAGATAGCGTGTTCACGCAAGAAGGCATACATCTTCCATGCAATGCAACAGTTTCGGAGCCGCAGACTCGCCAACGATGTATCGAATGAATGACTCACTCGAGTAGGCTATTATTGTTATTTTGGCACATACGTAGACGCCTTAATTGCTTCATTCAAATGTGTCGCACTCCTCGTACGGTAGTAGCCGAAAGGCGGGATTCTCCCTGATCCTCTCATCAAAATCTGAAATGTCGTCACCTGTCGGTAAGGAAAACAATTCAGTCCACTCAATGGGTAGGTAATGTGCATTCAATGTATTACCTACACGCAATTAACTTTTATTCGGACTCGAGGAGCCCGTGTTTGGTAAGTTCCGAAGCGTACGTTGCAGTTAGAAACACTTGAGGACGCACTGGTTTAAATTTGTCTGCTCATGTACAACACAGCATGCCAATTGCCATGCTATAGGTATATGATCTGATGCATATAATAGTTATACACTGCACAGCTCACTCCTGGGTGGACGGGCATTTGATCCAATGTTACGTTACTATTGTATGGCAGCTTTGATAGGACACACACTTGGAGCAAACGAGATATCCTTCGATGGTTGTCAGTAATAGAACACTCCTCGAAGCCTTCCACAGGACATTGGTGCGGAACAAAACTGGATGGCTAAATTACGTTGCAAAGCTTTTCTGTAAGCAGAACCATGAACTGATGCGACAGCCATCAGTTTGATCTGCCAGACGACAAGGCGATTCACTGAAGCCATCGGATTGGGCCACATGTCAGTGCCCAGGTGTCCGGTTTATGATAGTTACTCACTGCCGACCGCCACCGTGAGTCGTCGGCCCTGCTCCAGTCGGCCCACCAGATTGTCCAGCACCACATCAGTGTACACCATTTCCGTGGGCACCAGCAGCCGCAGCGACGGGCAGGACGCGACCAGACTGGAACAGGCGGATCACTTGACGGCGGCGGCAAGATCGGCAGCACCAATCATGCACGACGGGCAAACCATCGGAGTATGAAACAGGTAGTTCGCAGGTACTCTTAAGGCCTGGCTACACTATGCGTTTTCTGCGTGCGTTTTTGCAGGTTTGCGTGTTTTGCGTAATATCGTTCTAGGAAAAAAGTTATAAACTATATAATTTTTACTTCGGTTATATACAAAAGCTAATATAACTCTTATGTAACTAAAATTTAAGGTGAAAAACATCACAAAAACGTAATATCCTTCTTTTTCTAGAACGATATCACGCAAAACACGCAAACACGCAAAAAACGCACGAAGAAAACGCATAGTGTAGCCAGGCCTTTAAGCCGTAAGCAAACATAAGCTAAACAATGTATTCGCTTCAACATGAACTCATTTATTCTTAACCACCCGTCTGTCTTGCCGATCCATAACCACGTAAGACCCTGGTCCAGGTCCGATCGCTTATCCACCCGACCAATAATGAACATACGTTAAGGCCGCTTGGACAAAACCTGGACATCGCCATTTTTTTGTCTTAATGCCACTCATGTCAATACTTCAACGTTCTCTGTAGGTTCCCTGACAATACGTTTCCCTAAGCTGGTGATATGTATAGCCTATAGGGGACAGGATGAAGTAGCTAATGGTTGTCTAACAAGTCACTGATAGGTTTCACATCAGACGCAACCAACCACAAGAGGAAAGTCCTTATGCCTAATAAGTCACTGACTGATAAGTTACACACCAAACGCAACCAACCTAAAAGAAAAAAGTCCTTACTCGGCCAGTGTGTCGAGGCTGAAATCGGGACCGTTGAAGGGATGTGTTCCGACCGCCAGCTCTGAGAGATGCGGGAGACCATGGAGTCTAAGAAGAACTGCATCGGTCGTATCGGTGTCCATTAGGTTCAGCCTGCGAAGTTCCCTGAGCAGTCCCAGAGACAGAAGACCAGCGGCGGAGGCCCCACAACCTGAAAAAGCGGAGCTTTCAGGCATTAGATGTGCGTTGCGTCAGGGCATTTTTTTTTTTTAAATAAATTTAGCTCGAATGTTTGAATGGACGGATTGACAGAGCCGGAGCCCAGCTAAGCAGAGCTTGTTGCGTAGACCCCGACCCCTACCGTCCGATCGCACAATGCCGGGTATCGGGAGAATTTAGATGCCAAAGTTTAACGTGCCCTTCAAAGCCGGACACGGCCTGTCCCGCTCAACTGATTTGAACTGACTGCGGCTGCTCCCACCAACCGCAGACCATCCCCGTCAGGAGTCTCAAATATCGAGCACCGGAGCGTCTCAAACCCGGGCTCTCACTACCGGGAGTCCAATGCTCTACCAACTGAGCTAAGGCATGCGAGGACCGGAGGACGACTGGCGAGTAGGCGGCATTTACATCGTTTCAGCTATGTTTAAATGTTCAGTTGTATGCATATGCGACCGGTTTCAAGATGCATCTAATCGCGATACATTTGGGAAATCATATTTCATTTCGTCTCCCATCATTCGTGTTCAACAATGCACTTCTAAAATCACACTGAAAAAGAGAACTAAATAGCCAAAAGTATGGTAGTCCATTGAAAACCAACCTTCTAAATTCAGGTCGCGGATGCCTGGCGTCCTTTTAGGCAGCTGCTCCACGAAACTGTCCGTTACGCTGCACTCCTTGGCATTAAGCCGCTCCAGCCGCGGGCACATCCGCAGCAGGCTGGCCAGTGCAGCAGGCGGCGGATCCCAGAGACCGGAGATGTCCAGCTCCGTGATGGACGTGGCCGGCAGCCGCTCGGTGGGCTGGCACTTCCAGCGGCCGCTCAAGCTCAGTCGCCGCAGTGAGGCCGGTAGGCGCGACAGGAATCGTCCAGACGTCTTGTTCATTGTCAAACTTAGCGCAGAGAGCTCTGGTAGGCCGTCGATCAGCTCCTCGACACATGCGTCATCACATGATTTGGGGAGAATGATGTCCTTTAGCTTTGGACAGCTCTGACACAGGCGTTTCAGTGAGGAGACGGTAACGCGAAACATGTATAGATTTGCCGTTACCAGCTGGTGACAGTGTCGAACTGAAAAAGAAAGACGGTTTGCTTATCTTATCAGAGGAAATGAATGAACCAGGATTCCTAGCTCGGTGAGCGACGGAGATAATGAACATTTAACATCACAGTTCACAACCCAACATCAATCGTCCTATAAACATATCAGCATCAACCTCACACATCCTTCACCAATGATCCAACCAGCAACATGGACACGATTGAAGGGTACTCACTCACTTAGAATAGCAATGTCCATGTCAACACCTCTGACGCCGGCGAAGTTCTGGACGCCAGACATCCGGGAAAGGACTTTCTCCAGCCAGCAGTCTGTGACCCTCTGTGATTTGAGTCCAGGAATAAGCTCGTCGGAGAAGTGCCGACGCTTTGCAAGGCAGTCATCCACTGCCCTTTTCCAACACCACGAAACTGTTGGTGACAATAAGACTGGGTCAATTGACATCGTCAAACCGCACGGTTTCAAGTCGGCAACTGTGCAGAGGAAATCCAGCCGCTCCTGTGGCTCCATGTCCAAGTTGTGTTCCATATCGTCGACATTGCGTTCACTATAGTCCTAAAAGCGAATATGTTGAATTTTGACATTTGACCTGACTGACGACCAGTCACGACGTGACCTTAAACTTTGAATTTTCGCATTGCTCAGTGCTCAGTTCGTCTCGACGAGACAAACACCGCTCCGCAACGATGCACCCCTACAAGCACCCATGACCAGATTTGCATACATCAGATCACACATTCATTCCTGTGATGAATGTGATATATGACGGACGGGTAACAATTCATAATTTAAGCCAAGAACCAATGGTAAAACAACTGAGCTTGAAAACTCATCGAGACATTAGGAAGGTGTGAGCCATGAAACCTAGGTAAGTAGTCCTTCATTGTAAGGACTACTTACCATGAAACCTAGGTAAGTAGTCCTTCATTGGCAATTGTCATTGATGTTGCCTACCTGTAGCTACCTTCAGCTGTTCAGGGAGAGGGAGATAGCTCAGTATGTAGCAGAGCATCTCAGTAGGTAGTTGATGGATGGTCATCACAGCATCCCCAGACGCTGCGGTATCCTGAAAATGGCATTGCTTCACTAAAAACGTTGTTGCCATGGCCATATATAGAAGGTACAGTCACTCCCCCGCCGACCAATCAGAGACAGATCCTGAGTGACGTCATCCCTGATGCTCGCAAGGGGTACTCCATTCCTTAACAACGTAAAAATGGCAAACTTCATTTGAAGATTATTGATGGTACTTTTCACATATTGCTCAACCGTTGATGTCACTGGAAAGCCCAACTAATTTTCTAGCGACAAAAAAGAGCAGCAATATGCTAAGAAATGCCCGGTTTTGAAGATAAGCGCGATTTAAAAACCCTCTACAGTGAATATTTGTGTGTTGGTGACCTTAAGCCCTAGTGTAAAGACAAAAGAAACCAGACTGACCTCCAGATGATGTGAAGACGATGCTGTAGTCGACGATGATGAGGAGAAGACGACGAAGAGAGGACGACGAAGAGAAGTGTGCACAAATTTTCGGCCCTAGGCCATCCTCAGGTGATGAGAGGGGAGGTAGAGGTAAGGAGGGGGAGGAAGACCACCTCCGACGGTCGCCGCGGCCACGGTATATAGAGAACTAGGTAAAACCGGTTCGCCGCCACAACACTAAGGTATTTTGACCACTATTTTCAGCTGGTCTTTTCATTCCAAAAAGGGAACTAGGCCTCATATTTTTATATGTTTTATTATTTAGATATATATTATCCAGAAATGTATTCAGGGCAGGACTGGTGTATATCTGTAAAGTATTTGCGAAGATAATTTTGAAGCCGGCCACGCCATTTCGAAAATAATCAATCTTAGGTTGTAGGGATTCTATAGTAACGAAAATGTGTTTTCATCCTTAAAAATAAAAACTAATAGTGAAAAACTATTATCATAGCCTAATATTGCTTCTTTGAATTTCGAAACCACCATGCTCCCAAAGTTGTCATCCCGCCGGACCTGCCAAAGTTATACCACGAATTCTCGAATAATACCGTGGTGTGGGTCTCAAATCAGTAGCAGTCAATATCAAAAATTGAATTGTCTTTCATATTTTATGTGTGTTTTGCATTTACTAATGCTCAAAACTAGAATTAATCCATGTTGAATACATCACCACCATTGGTGTTCTTTGTCACCCTGTTCCACTAAATTTGATATTGTTTAAAAACAAGACCGAGTCGGCATCTAAATAAACCACCAAAATGTGCAAAAATGCACAGACTATAACATGTAAAAGTATTAAAGCTCAGCTAATTGGGGCTCATTGTCAATTTCCCTTCCAAAGTTGAAATTTAAAGTTTTGGGTACCAAACAGTCTTGAACAAAAACATTCATAGTTGGTAAACCTACCGCAGATGGGCTCATAAAAGGTATTCATCATAATAAAAATTAAATTTTCTTTCCCGATAAGCATGTTTTATTGCAGTTTCGGTGTAATAAGATATATTTTTTGGGTCTAGAATGTGAGAGCTTCCTTGCTGCCAAAAGTCACACTGTAGCAATCAATGGAATATTTCTAAGAAATAAAACCGAGTCGGCATCTATTTATAGTACAATAATATACAAAATTAAATTTTCTATCTGCTGGTGTAAGGTTTTATACAAAATAAATTGGGGCTCAGTACGAAATTCGATGTTAAAAACTGCAGACCATGATTATCACCTGCAGCTGCGCACAGTTTACTGTACTGCTATCGCTAGCGAACGCCAGCGCTCTCATTTGATTGGTTTAACGGCGTGTTCGCTGCTGACGGAGAACATCCCTGATTTTTGAATTTGTTTTGATTAGGCCGATTAGGCACATTGGAATTCAATTCAATTCAATTCAATTCAATTTAAAATTGTGCAGCTTGTTGATGGTAGAAGTTGTGAAGCGCATAACATAAAAGAGTTGTGTAGAGATTGTATGGGGTGTTGACGTTTTTGACATTTCCTTTTTCTTGTGCTCTTTTGAGATCTTTGCAGGGGTTGGAAATTTGCAATCACAATGCCACTAGGAAACAGTGTTTTTTTTTTGTTTTCATGCCACAATTATGGGCAACACGGCAGGGCAAAGTTTGCCTCAAGTCCTGGCTCGTTCGTAGCCTTGATTTGCATTCAAGAAAGCAGGTCTGTGCCCAAATGGATGCTGCACATTTTTATATTCTTCAAAGCAATCGAGGTTCATTTGCCGATTCTGCATGGAATATGCGAAGCAAAGCAGTGTCATGCTGACGCGGAGACGAAGACGTAAGTATGAAACAGACTACAATACTTGGCAAAAAGGCAAGCAAAATGCATCACTTAGTTCGACTAATCCGCATCATTCTATATCAACCAATCTGGAAATGTGTACCCTCCAGTGTACCAGTATGCCCTGCATAAATGTGGAAGAATTGAGCCAGAGCCCATGCTAAGCGTGAATTGCTGTGTAGACCTACAAACCCCACCATGCACCAGGCATCCTTGAGCATGTGCTGTGTTGTGCAGGTGATTGTGCATTGGTGTTCATGTGCTCCTGGGTGCCTTTTTGGTGGGGGGGGGGGGAGCTCGAGCGTTGTGTGGTTCTTGAGTTATCATCCTATCCACCAGGTTGTATCTGGCGGTGGTTCTGGAGACAGCGCGGTTCGATCCAGCTGTGGGCCTGACGTCACCCAGCAGAAATGGCAGCATGTTATCACCAGCTACGAGGCGCGCATACAGACAATGTCCAGAAACAATCACGTCATCTCCAGGTCAGTTGTGCATCCCACCGACTCTGTAGGGCAGTGATATAATGCCAATTGTGTTACCTGGCACCTTCTTCTTCTTCTTCTGTTGTCCGGCGATTCCGGCGGGCCGATCATCGGGCCTCCGGCAGGAGGCCAGTCCTCCTGAAGAACCTCAGCACCGCGTCCGGGTCCTCTTGTAGCACCGTCAGTGTCGGGGTGTGGCCGAGGAGCGCAGACCGCGCCGCCTGGTATTTCGGGCATTCGCAGACCACGTGTTCCGTGTCCTCCGGCACGCCACACTCGGGACACAGGCCGTCGGTGTCCGGCCTGTTCCATCTGGCTAGTGTGGCTTGGAGCAGTGGACAGCGGTTCGCTCGCAGCTGATGGAGCAGAACCTGGTCCCGTCTGGCCCATTCACTCTCATACTTCAGGCAGCGCCCGTCCGTCGCTCTCCGGTGTGTGTGCTCCGGGGGCACGGTGGTGTGGTACGTGCCAGACCATTTCTTCCAGCACACACCACGGATGGCCACTTTCGCCGACGGGAGGTCGATCTTGGCCGTTTCTTGAGGGAGGGTCCTTCCGGTGTTTGCAGCCTGGTCTGCCTGCTCGTTTCCCGCGATGTCTGCGTGGCCAGGGATCCAGACGATTTGCACGTTCATTTTTCTGCGACTGAGATGGTTCAGGCCTGTCCATATCTCGGTAAGGGTTTCTGGGGCGGGTCCTCTGGTACCCTGTTTGAGGAAGGTTACCAGTGAGAGTGAGTCGGTGCACAGGCGGGTCGTCTTGACTTCCTTTGGGGCTCCCGCTGCGTCCCTCACAGCTGCCAGGAAAGCCACTTGCTCGGCCCGGTACGAGCTTGACCACTTGCCGGCCGGTACGCTCCAGGTCGCGTTGCCTCGGCCTTGCTCGATGCGGACAACTCCCCCTCCGCCAACTCCAAACCCCTTCTCCGTGGAACCGTCAGTGTAGTAGGTTGAGTCCGTGGGCGGCAGGGATTCCAGGACGCGCTCTGCTGCCGCTCGCCTTCTTTCCGGTGGATCATGTCTGGAGGTGGTGTCACCAGATTCCGTGTGGAAGCTGATCCTTCCTTTCCCCATCGACAGCCACGGGGGGCGCGGTGGTAGGGACATTGTCTCCCTCTTCGTCTCCTCGAGCAGCGCTTCCTTCGCGATCTTGGTCGCTTCTTCGCGCCAGGTCTGCCGGTTCACGAGCCGCTTCCTCATCTTCCTGGTGACCGTCTGTCGGGCCGGGACGCTGTCAGGGAGACGGATGACCCTCTCTCGCAGGATCGCGCCTTGTTCTTCAGCCAGAGAAGAGATGCTCCGGATGTTGGCCTCCGCCATCACCACCCTCGTCCTCGTGCCGGCTGGGCAGCCCGTGATGATTCGGGCTCCGGCGGCCGCGACCTGGTCCATCTTCTCCCTGTTCGTCTTCCGGCTCAGCGACATGTACGCCGCGCTTCCATACAGCGCTACGGGTTGGATGAACTGGCAGTACATCCTTCGCAGGGTTACTGAGCTGCAACCCCACGTGGTTCCCGCCAGGGCCTTGGTGACTTGCAGTCGCTTTGCCAGTTTGCCCTTCAGCTGCTGTACATGTTGGGTGAAAGACAGTTGGGTATCGAAGACGACTCCCAGCACTGTGACTTCGCTGGTTTGCTGTATGATCGTGTCCCCCAGACAGATGTCCACCTTTTTCTTTGAGTTTACTTCGTGTACGTTGGAGGTGAATAAGATTGTCTTGGTTTTGGTGGCGCTGATTGTCATGTTCCAGGCGTAGGCCCATTCCTCTACTTCGTCCATTGCCGCCTGCACCTTGGCCTGGGCTGTGGGGACGCTGCTGTCACTGGCGTAGATGATCAGGTCGTCTGCGTACATGCCGATCTGCACGTCGTGCCGCCGCAGCACTGGTGCCAGGTCGTTGATGTAGCAGAGCCACAGGAGCGGTGAGATCACTCCTCCCTGCGGCAGGCCCTCCCGCATCTTCACCTCTGCGGATGCCGTCTCGTCCCATGCCACTCTGGCTCTTCGATCTGCCAGGAAGTTCCTGATCCACCTCATCATACATGGTGGAACATCCATGTCCGTCATCTTGTAGAGCAGACTGGTTTTGTTGACACGGTCGTACGCGGCAGTCATGTCTACAGCCACCAGGACTGTTCTCTTGGTGGGCTTCGCTTCCATGGCATCCATGATATCTTGGCCGAGTCGGGCGATCTGCTCCTCTGTGCACCGGCCGGATCTGAAGCCCGCCTGTTCTGGGACGAGGGTGCCATTCGCTTCGAGCAGGTACGCCAGTCGGCCCTGGAGGAGGCGTTCGGCCAGTTTACAGATGCAGCTGGTGAGGCTGATGGGGCGGTACGACGACGGCTGTTCCGGGGGTTTCCCGTTCTTGTGAATCGGTATGATCTTGGCTCTGCGCCAGGCGGTGGGCACCTCTCCCGATGCGAGACTCTTGTTCAGCACTCTGAGGAGCGTCTTCCTGCCCGCCGTGCTGAGTTCCTTCAGCATCTGTGGCATCACTCCGTCCGGGCCGGGGGCACCTGTTTTCATGTGAGACAGGGCCACTTCCAGCTCCGTCAGGCTGTAGGGACGGCAGACTTTGCCCCGGCAGTTTGGGTGTTTCTTGCATGGTTGGGCTACCGCCTTGTTCACCGCCTGTCGTCTGGCCTTCTGGTGGTCTCTGAGTTCCTGGTTTGAGGCTGAGTATTGTGATTGGCTGACTTGGGCATAGTGTTTAGCCATGACATCTGCTTTTTCCTTCGCTGTTTTTGCAGATCTTCTGTGCACTTTCAGGATAGCTGTCGATCCCTGCTTCTTCCCGCGTCCATCCATCGCCTTGATTGTGGAGTAGAGGTGCGAGTTGTCTGTCGCCGCGTCCATCTTCTCGCATTCGCGGGCCCATGCGTTCAGCTTTGCACGTTTTACAACTTGTTTCGCTTGTGCGGTTTTCTCAGTGCATTGTGCCATCAGATCTTCGTTTCCAGGGTCTCTCCTCAGGGCGTCTCGGGCTTCCCTTCTTTGCTGCACGGCTTCTTCGGCTTCTTCACACCACCATGCTTTCGCGTTTCTCCGGGGTGGCACGCGAGGGATGGCTTTCTCTGCCGCTTGGACCATGATTCTAGTGAGTTTTCTTGTCGCTGCCTCGGTCGATGTCATGCGGCGGAGCTTGTGCTTGAATTTGTGGTCGGTCAGTGTTCGGTACAGTGTCCAGTTTGCTTTCCGCAGGCACAGTCTCGCTCTCCTCTTTGCTGGGGGCGGCGTCTTGACTTGCATTTCCACCTTGATGTGTAGCGGGCGGTGGTCCGACGCCAGGTCTTCCCCGATACACCACTCGATCCCGCCGCTCAGGGCGGCATGGCAGATTGTGACGTCTGGTGTGGTGCCTCTACCGCTCGCATCATGTCTCGTCGGAGCTCCGGAGTTGAGCACACACATGTCATGTTGGTCCATCCACTCGGCGATCCTGCCCCCTCTGGGGTCTCTCGCACGGTTGGAGTCCCAGAGTTCATGGTGTGCGTTAATGTCCGCTGCGATGATAACGTTTCTTCCCTGCGGGAGGCTGTCCGGGTTGAACTCGTCCCTTCTCGTGTCTTCGTTACTTGGTTTTACTGTGGCTATGTACGCGTTTAGCAGCCTTACAGTTCGTGTCGTTGATTGGATATCTATCATGACTGCGTCGGAGTTTCTGTCTCGTACGTCGTACGCTATCGGTTCGAAGCCGAAGCCGCATCCTCTACGGACCAGGGTCAGGACACCTCCGTATCCATGGGATTCACCGGCGTGCGTTCCTCGATGCTGTCTTCTGTCAGCCCGCGCCGCCACCTCCCATCCCTCGAACTTCGGGGTCTCCTGTCCCTGTCGGAGGTTGGTTTCTTGGAGGCAGAGGACATCTACCTTTTGTTCCTCGGCGTATCGTAGGATCTCTGCCCTCTTCTCTGTTGCACCGATGCCGTTAGCGTTCAACTGAATTATGTGTAGTTCTGCCTTGTGAGTTAGTTTTGTACTTCGTGTTGTTCGTGTCAGATGCTCTGGTGGCCGGTAGTCCTCTTGTGGGAGCGCTCTGGCTGCACTCACAAGGGCGGCGAAGGGACGAGGCCTCTCCGGCTGGGCTTGCTCCACGACCCCATCCCTCGGCCGATCCTCGCGTGTGTCCCCTGCAGGGCTCCGAGTGTCTTGTCTTCGGGTGTTGCGAGGTGAGTTACGTCTCGGTGGACCGGAGGCTGGCATGTCTTGTGGTTCAGGTTCCGTCTTGTCTTTTGACGTCTCGAGCAGTCCACTGTCGGGTCGGAATTCCTCCTCCGAGCACTGTTTGCCCCGTTGGATGAGTCGCTTCATCGTTTCACGTAGCGTCTCCGCCTCTACGGTTGTGCACAACTGGAAGTCCTCCGTGGTACACTGCTTTCCTGCCTCAATAAGCTGCGCCATTGCCTTACGCAGAGTTGCACTTTCAGTGGTTGCAGTTGCTCGAGCATCGGCCGTTCCTTCTTGTCTTGTCATGGCTCTGGTGACTCTTCTGGTGGGTTGTTTGGTGTCCGTCTCTGGTTTTGTCGGTAGCGTCTCGTCCTCCTTCTCCTTCCTGTGGCCGGCGGCAGCGCCTCCCCTCGCATTGCCGCCGGCGCGGTCCGCGCCCAGTGGTCGGGACGCGGACCGCAGCTCCCGTCGGCTATTCATTTAGGCGCAGCCCCCCACTCGGGGGCCGCGCTGACGGTGTGCGACTCGGTCGCAGCTGAAGTCGTCGGTTGACTCCGGCAGGTGCGCCTCTTGGTGCAAACACCCCCACCACGAGAAGGTGAGGCGCGTGGGCGGGGCTTGCGCCCCCGAGGGAGGCGTTCGGGCGGCAGGCAGGGGCCGAGGCCGCTCCCTTCGCCCCACCTCCGTCGGCCGCGATGCGTCCACCAGCGATGATGTAGCCGGCGTCGCGCACCGCAGCGAAGGCACCTGGCACCTGCCCCCTGATAGGTGACAATGGCGTCCCCCCGTCCTCGGTGAGTGGCGTGATGACTGTGACCGGTCACCGGTCGACCACAGGTCGATCGGGGCCGGTTGTCGCTGTGGTCCGAGAGCCGAGGCGGGCCCAGGGGCGACCTCCTTGGCCGTCTGATGGAGGCGTGGTCCCATACATGCATTTCCCATCAATATGTGAATTTATCAATTTGTAGGTAAATGGTTGTGACCAATCACTGTTCAACATCTGCCAATATAATCTGATCTGCGTCCTCCTCTGCCCTCCACCCTCAGGCAGTCAGCTGAGTCAGATCCAGGACCAGCTCCAGAGCCTGAACCTGTCATTGAAGGCCGTCAGGCACCACCTATCCTTCACTGTACAATCCTTCGGTGTTACAAGTTACAACCAGATTAATTGCTTTATGCTCCACTCAGTCTGCTGTTTGACCATAATGGGCTGTTTGAATGGCATGGCATATTGTGTCATAAGGCAAAAATATAGCATTGCAGTTAAAGGCCTACTTGCATGACTATGCTTCCAGTGAATGCTCTGAATATTTCTTGGTGAGTTAAATAGATTACCTTAGGGATATTCAGCATAGGACTTGAAAATAATATGGTCCCTAATGAGTCATTAACTCTTTACTGTGTTTCAGAGCGCCACGCGACCACGATGGTACTGCCAACGATGGCCTGCTCACCGACAGCTCGCCGCCAGCCGGCGGCGTTCCGCCAGCCAACGGGCTTCCGCCAGCCAACGGCGTTCTGCCCGCCGATGGTGGCCCGACGACCGACTGTCGCTCGCCGGCCGAAGGTGATCCGGTAGCCGAACGAGGCTCGCCAACCTACGCCGATCGACGCCGGCCCGCCCGCCGACGACGCCCTGCCAGCCGACCGCGTCCCGCTCGCCGACGGCGTCGATACGCCGGCGCGCGTATCGACATTGATCAGAAACGATCACATTATGTCCAGGTCAGTAATTGTGTCAACCAACGCATCCACAGGTCAGCTGTGTCCTGCTTCGTTACTAGGTCAGTGACCCTAGGTGGGTTGCTTGGGGGAACTTTATGTGTTGCCGGGATGGGATGTCTGCTAATGCAGGTGCCGTTGCAAGTGTCGTGACGCTTGATGGTCTCAGGCTTGAGCTTCGAGTGAGTGAGAAATGCTGAGTGAGAAATGTGTAATGTTTATACAGGCGAATGTACTGTTATTATGGATGAGTGTGCGACAGGGAACGTTATGAGGTGTGATTCGTGGTCGCCGTGGCTGGTAGTGGCATTTTACGCGACCGTCGTGACCTGTGACGGCAGCCGTGACTGCTACATGACAGTCGCCGTGACTGTTCTATAACGGCCTTCGTGACTGAAACGTGACGGTCGTCACTCGTCGTGACGTGCCGCGACTCGCTGTTTTGCAGGTCATTAGTCGCGGGCGCTCGAGCTGACGGTGTCGTCTGACGGCTCCACGGTGACCAGCGCCGCCTCCGCCGAGAACATCAGACTCCTGAAATGCTAATGGCCGTACACGAACAAGAGGCTCTAAACATCCAGGTGCAGGATAAGCGCCATGCTCAGAGGCGTCATCTGGAGAAGGCCGCACAGTGCACTTAAGGCTGAGCTCGGGTGAAGTGCGCGCAGACAGATATGATCAACTGACGGGCCGGCCATCAGATATCAGTACGGAACTCAAGATGATTGGAGCCGACGTGGTTCGGTTGATGGTGTGTCAGGGTTGATTGAGAGTGGAGGCGAGACACCCGGATCTGTGAATGATACGCCGATACGGATCTCGACGTCGTCTCGCAATTTGTGCTATGTAATATGACGGCTATGCCGTGGTATCATTCACTCTCGATGCGCTTATAAATAATAAATAGGACAGAGACTGGAATTAAGATTATTATATTTGGATGTAAGGGGCAAGTTTTGGCCAGCGCTATATTAGAAATCGTGAGCGTGCTAGTTGTAATCAATCGCGCGCTTCTTGCTGAGCATCTGTGAGCGAGAAAATACTTTCTCTGGAACGTTCGTCGTAAAATATGTGTATCTTTGGAATAAGTTGTCAGAACATGAATGCATTTTTGATGTCCACTGCAGCTGCTGTTCTGGAACAGAAACATGCCGAGATCGGCTGTGTAGGTATGTACTATGTACGCTGTGGCAAAATCAAGCAGCCGTACCATGAATCAAAAGCGATATGTGAATTAAAGTGGATATATTTCACTTTTTTCAGTTTTATCATACAGATCACAGAAATGCGTCAAATACTATCACACCCGGTTCCAAACAACTAAACGCTTGCGATCACTGGAAAGTAAATAAACAATAGATACCCATGTGGCTGCCTGGCGTGATCCGACTCTCTCTCTCTCTCTTTCTCTCTCTCTCTCTCTCTCTCTCTCTCTCTCTCTCTCTCTCTCTCTCTCTCTCTCTCTCTCTCTCTCTCTCTCTCTTTCTCTCTCTCTCGCTCTCTGTTGTTGCTGACGCACACAGGACAATACAGCCGAATCGCGACGATGGAGAGCACGGAACGATGCTGGTGACTGGCGGACCAGCGAAAACAGGAAAGGAGATGAATAGCTCTAGCTCCCGTCTGCGCGCGGAAGGGCTCTGATTGGCGCGGCTCGCTGACTACATTGGCTCATCAGACTGTTGTTGGTTTCCTCCTTCCCCTCCCACAAGCGTAGCCACTAGCCAGGTAGCTAAGTTGTGCGTGGAAGCGAGCGGCCAGAGTGGCGTCAGGTGTCGCCCTCCCAGCGACCGGGCAGTGCAGCTGGACACTGGGCAGTGCAGCTGGACGTGCCCTGGATGGTCCGCCTCTGATCTCGGCACACTCGGCAGAGTGCGACCGGACACTCCATGGAGTTGCATAGCGTCGATAGGCCGTATGGTGTCGCTGTCGTAATTATAAAAGCGTAAGTAGAAGGCTGAAACAAGATATAGAATGCTTTTCTTTGCATTTAATATCGCAAAGCACAGCTTTATGCGCTGGCTACGATATGTGCGTGTCGGTTGCGCGGCAGTAATCATCGAAGAAATATATGATTTATGAACGTTTCTTGATCATAGAATGATAAAACATTGCAATGTTTGCCTGTTGTGAAGAAAACTCCTATACTGCCGCTCTATCGTCCGGAATTATTCGTGTTTGATTACCGCGATTCCGCCACTCTATCAGCTGATTTTTGTTTCCGAGTCACGTGACCAACCGGTGTCTCCCTGGCCGCGGCGAGGTACCAACTGACGCCAGACGGAGGTTTGAAATGACACCAGTTGGCGCGCGAGGTGACCTGCAGCGCCACCTGTCTCGGTAGGCCATCTGTCGGTCACCGTTCGGACTGGCAACTCCTTCAGCCGCCGGTTATAATATCGGCCATGATGTGGTTTGGGTGTTCAGCGATGGTCTGCGGTCTCGAATAAATAGCGATTCTGCGATTTTCCTGTTTGGGCCGTCTTTGCATACCGTCAAGATGTTGATGCGGAAGCAGTTGGTGATGTCTGTTTGTTCGTTTGGGTGGCAGGTAGTCATGTGGTCGCCGAGGGGAGTGTCCGGGTTTCTGTGCCGCGCGTCTCGGAGGTGCTCGTTAAATCTCAGTCGCACGCTTCGTCTTGTCTCTCCGATATAAATATTCCGCGTCTTTACTTTTTCACACAGCTCACAGGCTATCTCATAGACCACATTTTTTGTGTGACACCTGCCACCCAGACCGCTCATACAAGTCGCGCATTTGCGACCCCCTCCAGGGCAGGGGGGCGGTTCCAGAGCGGAGCGCACTAGGCTCTTTTTGAGGCTATTGTCGTTTTTCCACGCCACTTGGAATGCCAGCCCTGACGCCCGGACTGTGCCCTGGATTTTGTGAGCGAGCGAGTCATCGATGAATGGCAGTGAGATGAATGTTCGGTCATCTTGGCGCCGCCGCGCCCGGCTCTGTTCGTTCTGCCTTTCCCGAGGTATCGACATCACCTGGGCCGTAGAGGAACGAACCAGACGCGGCGGGTAACCGTTTGAGATGAACAGATCTGTCACCTTGGCGACACTCCGGTCCCTTGCGGCGGGGTCAGATGACAAACGCACCGCTCGTTTCAGCTGTGCCTTCAGCACAGACTTTTTCATCTGAGCGGGATGAGCAGAGTCATATGGCATAATGATTGGGGCTGCCATGGGTTTGTAGTAGAGCTCAGTTTGGTAGGTGCCATCTGGGTGGATTGTGACCAAAGTGTCTAAGAATGGTAACTGTTCTCCGTTCGTATCTGAGCGCTCAGCTGTGAATGTGATCGACGGGTGTACGGTGTTGATGAACTGTAAGTACGCGTCCAGTTCCTCTGCTCCGTGCGGCCACACTCCAAATACGTCATCGATGTATCTGAGGTAGAGGGTGGGTTGCAGGCGGGGTGAGCTCAGAATACGCTCTTCTACCTTTCCCATGAATACCACCGCCAGTGGAGGAGCGACGCGGCTGCCCATCGCAATTCCCCTCGTTTGTCGGTAGTACCTGTCACCGAATCGAAGGTAATTGTTGTTAAGGCAGTGAGAGAGAAGCGTCTTAACATCGGTCAGTGTCAGACCGAACATACAGATGTTGTCTGCATGCCTCTCTAGGAGTTCAGTGGCTGTCTCGATCGCTTCATTTACCGGAATGTTCCCGTATAGATTGGTCACGTCCACGCTAAAAATGATACTCCCGTCTGATAGTTTGTCTGGGAAGTTGTGGTGAAGCCGTTTGAGGTAATCGTCAGTGCTCGTGAGATGGGCCGGAACGAATGGCAGCAGCTGGTTGATCACACGCTCAAGCAGCCAGGTGAGTTTATCAACCGGATCCCCGCATGCGGATATGATGGGTCTCAGAGGGACCGTTGGCTTGTGGTTTTTGGGCAGACCGTAAAACTCGGCCGTGCGAGAGCATTGGGGTAACAATGCCTGTATCATGCTTTTCTCCACTTTGTCGGCCATTGTGTCACCAATGAGACGCTTGGTTTTAGCCTCGAGCTTGGGTGTCGGGTTTCTTTGGACCGGCTCATATTCTGAGACATGTGCGTTGGCTTTGCTGATGTAATCGTCTTTCGTCATCAGTACAAATCCTTTGCATTTGTCCGATGGTTTCAGAACCAGGTCGTCGTTCTTCCTGAACTGGCTGATGGCGTGTCGCTGATGGGTAGTGTGGTTTTTCCCCGAGGCTCTGTGATTGCGATAGATAACCATCAACTTCTTTTTCAGCGCCGACAGTTTTCTCTCGATCTCCCCAGACGCGGCTGGTGGCATGGACGCGTTACCATCCGGGAAGCGCGGTTTTAGGGTGCCTTGTCTTAGGCTATACATCCCTCGTGCCGCTCGCTTTTGGAATTCAATTTTCCATCGTAGTGCAAACGCGCCTCTTTCTGCTCCAATTTCCACCTCTGTCAGGGTCAGCGATGCCATTCCTTGGGATTTGTCCCAAGATCTTGGGATTTGAACATTAACATTGGGATCTTGTGATTTGCGCTGCATATCTTGGGATCTGACAGAAGCTGATTTCACTTTGTCTTCTCATGCTGTCGAATGCTTTTTTCCTTGGTCGATAATAAATTTAGGATGGATTTGCCTCACGGACGGTTAATAGCATTCAAACATATTGAAGTAACGGACGAAGCTTGCGATGTTTCTTGCAGGCATTATCTTCCCGAGGTCGCAGGGTTATTTTTGTACCATTACTTGTTATGGGTATAGTAGCAGCTTTCAGTCGCTGTTCGCAACTGACGCACATTTGTTTAATTTCCAACTACCGATCAACAGGGATGGGTGGTTTGGCGGCATGATGTTGCATGGCTATGAAAAGCTTTTACAAACATTGTGCCTAAAAAATATTTCAGAAAGCGGCTCCCGCACAAAGCGTTTCATTTTACGGTTTTGCTCTATGGAGGCTTATCCGTTGACCGCGAACCAAAATAAGGGCAATTTGTCTTTGACCTCGGAAAAGTGTCTGGTCACCTGACCTCTGCGCTCTGCTGGACCAAAAATAATCAAAGCATAACCTTGCGACCTTCACAACACTGCTGACGTCTTGTAACTATATAGCCCAGGGGACGAGTTAGGTCCTCGTTTAGACCCCCTCGCCATCGTTGGCTTGAAAATTCATGGGCCCCAGCGGGCACTGGCTTACGCGCAGATTCACAGCATAGGCTTTTCGATTTCGGGATTCACATAAGCTTTTAAGAGCTTGTTTTTGGAGCCCATATTTCAAAACTCAGTGGTGGAAAACACTAAAAATCAGCCTGACCTCACCTGACCCTAGCTTCTCCAAATGTATCACGAGACAAATTTCGAAATAAACCCAAAATGCCACAGACTTCGTTTCCAAGAAGTTCTAACAGATTCAAACTTTGTGTTTTGGGTCCTTGACCCACCATTGACGGTCGACGAATGACCTGACCATAATAGCAGATACCACCGGCTTCATGTTGTCTAGGCCAGCATCTTCATTTTTCGTGAAGCTCTAATACTCGGTCAGGAACCGACAGTGGCGCGGGAACTTCTTCCAGACTGGGGGGGCTGAACCATCATAGATATCAACCTAGGGTACCCCCAAATCTAGCTTTCTCATCGGTTTTAGGCCACTTATTTTTCAGACCGTGGCCTTTTCAACGAAAAAAAAAGAAGAAAATATTTGCAAAAAAAGTGAGGTATTCCGTCTCAGCTGAGTGAAGAAACTACCGTTTTGGCAACCTGGAATAAAGGTTTTAAGCTGCCAAATGAGGTGCCGAGTCAGTAAAATAGGTAGATTTTTCACTCACATGCTTTCTTCCTTTGTGACTCACAACCCCTAATTTGGGGAGGACAAGCTGCCCCAACGGTTCCTGGCCTCATGAAAAGTTGTGAGGCACCGCCCCCACGGCCCCAGAGTTGTGAGGGCAAGCTTCCCCCACTGCCCTCTCCCCCGGTTCCCGCGCCTATGTATGAATCTATGAAATTGTGTTGGTAGATTTCCGATATCGATTCCTCCAGCTGGGGGGGCTCAAATACATTACGAGCCCCCCCAGCCGAAAAGTTGGAGGGGCTCAGCCCCCCCTAGCCCCCCCCCGGTTCCCGCGCCACTGGGAACCGATCAGCTGTAGGAGTCCGATCGACCCCCTCCCCCTCCCCTCCCCCCGGCCTCTAGGTACATTAGCTGCTGTAAAGACGCCAATAAGGACAAGGGTGGACCCGAAGAAGAGAAAGTTGAATACTAAACACACTAATATGTCCAAAA